TTAATCACATGTTATTACCACCCCGTTTTGCATAAAATACTTAATCTTTATCTTCAGGAGATTCAAACACCACCTAAAGAGGGTGAGGTAAAAACCTAATCTTTTTCATACTTCTGGCTTGTGAAAATCTCTATAAGTGAAAGTATAAGTGAAAGGTAAAACTCAAAATAAAGCATCGTTGAACCACGTCATTAGAGAAGCACGAGCCGTCGGATGCAACAGAAATACAATATGAACCGTTGGATCATAAAAAAACCGTTGTGAAAAAAATGGTGAAAGGTTAAATTCTTCGGGAATATTCGACACGTTCTCTAGCGTAAAAAGTTAAATTCTTCGTGAGTCTCCAACACTTCTCCAGGATATACAAAGAAACACGAGTCGGGAGAGAAAGGAACAGAGTGGAGATTAAGAAACGAAATAAATAATATGGGAGAATTCTACGCTGTGTAGCTCTCCTCCTCCAACTCCAACTCCAGCCGGGGCTGCGTTCCAGACCACCAGCCCGGCCCGGTAAGAAACGATCAGAACACCAGAGAAACACGATAATGGAGTTCGGAAGGTGGTTGACATATCCGGCGCTTCACTGTCCACCACCACCACCACCACCTGATGGGAATGGGGAAGCACGGCAGAGGTACCTTCCTGCTTCCTCCGCCGTATCCCCACCAGGGTTGGAAATTTCAGATTTCGTTCACCTCCGTTACGATATTATTTTGACCGAAATTTTTTATTTTTTCATTCATTTGGGTAATATTTGTTCAAATTTAACTAAATTTTACTTAAAATTTCGGACCAAAATTTTCGAAATTTCGGTGACCCCGATATAAAGGCCTCAACCGATAGAGTGAACCCTTATCCCCACCGTAACCACCGTCTCCAAATCAAGTAGACCAGAGCATCGCCATGACCAGATCGGTATCTACTACATCTTGTCCCTCCTCCTGCAGGTAGCCGGAGACGCCACCGTGATCCCAGACACATCGGTGGGGGAACGGGCATAGCTCGGCACTCCATGGCACGCTGCTAGAGGCCCCGAACAGGACAGTCACGCCGCCTGCATCTTTGCTGTTCTCAACGGTGTGGCGCGCACCTCCCTCTGGCTTCCTCCATGCTAGCCGCACAGATCTGGGTTGCTTCTGCTACTGCGGCCATATCACAGGGAGAAAGTTTTTGAGTGAGCAGCAGCACCGTGTGAGAGCTGATTGAGAAAGAAATAGATAAGGGAGTGAGAGAGGAATTTTTTAGAAAGAATACAATTTTAATAGAAAATCGCAAAAATATAGGTCGGTTAGACGAAATCACAAATTTAGCACCCTGTTGAACAACCGTGGTTCGACAGGGGTACTGCGGTTGTTCCTTGTCGAACCGTAGTTGTTCAACAGGGTAGTTGGTAAAAAAAAGTATATGAAGAGTGTTGCGTGGTGGTTGTGGCATATCGAACTGTCCATGTTTGATACGTCCGCATGAACAGTGCGCTAAAATGCCGCTAAAGAGATTATTCTCTTTTTTAAAATTTTTTATTACTTGTCGAACCACGGTTGTTCGACATGGTACTAAACTTGCAGTTTCGTATAACCAACTTATATTTTAATGATTTTTCATTAAAATCGTATTATTTCTAAAAAAAAATCATGAGCGGGTGACTAAGCGAGAGAAAAAGCAAGATGTCCACATCTGGTGAATCGGGGATTCTCCGTCCTGTCACTTTTGCATGTTCATGCCTAACAAAATTTCTAAGGAGAGCGCTACGTGTCGGACGTATGGCACGAGACCAAAAATCGGACGCCTCGCGCGACCGTCCGATCCACGCACTCGCGCGCTAGCCATTCATCATGGATGGATTAAGTGAGCTTTAAACTATTTTTTCTCATAAAATATTTATCCAAATCATGATCCAATTGCACCATTAAATCCGTTGCAATTAAATCTTTAAAACAAGACCACACATGAATATAACCCGATGAAAAAAAAGCTTATTATTGAATTGTTTATAAATGTTGCATGATGTTGCGCCAAGTATATCGGAATTGTTTCACTAGGTAGATCAAAAATGTTTCATCGGACGTTGTTTCACCTTATATGAAAATAATGTTTCAGCGAATAGCGAAAGGATGATTCAATTCACTGCAACATTTGATCCATACATAGTGAACGTTACGAGTACACTAGGTGAAACATTTTAAATTGATAAAAAAAAATCAGATGGTCAAATGTTGCAGTTGACCAATAAGTGAAAAATTAAGTTACATATGGTGAAACAAAAAAATAGCAACTGGAACATTTAAATATTTTATGAAACATGGTGAAGATACACGTTGAAACATGTCGCTGATACATTTGAAACAATAAGTATTAACAGACTGAAACATATGCTTTTCTTTTATCAAAATATAATCATACGATATCTTGTTGTAAAGATTTAATTACAACGAATACAACGGTGTGATCGGATCATAGATTGAATAAGTAATTTAAGAGAAAAATCATTTTAAAGCTTGCTAAAATACATGCATATATGTATGAATGAGGTGGAGAGAGAGTAGTAGCAGGTAGTTTCAGAAATTTTGTGAAACACACTGAAGACGCACATTGAAACATATCCCTATCACATATGAAACATTTAGTTTTAGCGGTTTGAAACACATGTTTTTCTTTTGACATAATATAATCATATGATAACTTGTTGTAATGATTTAATTACAACGAATACAACGGTATGATCGGTTCGTAGATCGGATAAGTAATTTAGGAGGAAAAATATTTAAAGAGAGGTGGAAAGAATGAAAAGAAACAGCTAGGCATGCATGTTACGGTAACATGGTTCGTCCGATTCATCCGGCTGTCGATTTGCAGCATTTTTCTGACGTCAACAGAGAGAAAGGAGAAATTAGTAAGTAAGGAGTGAGCTGGTCGTAGGGTCTAATATTTTTTATCTGATCGGATGTTCGAAGAGAAGCATTTTCAAATTTTTAATCCTACTCCAGTAAATAAAAGTAGCGGGGTGTCGCTCTACAGGTAAATCATGTATGTTAGTTGAGGCTGTGTTTAGTTCTACACCAAAATTGGAAGTTTGAAGAAATTGGAATGATGTGAGACGGAAAAATTGAAAGTTTGTGTGTGTAGAAAAGTTCGATGTGACGGAAAAGTTGAAAGTTTGAAAAAAAAAGTAGGAATCTAAACAGGGCCTGAGTTGAATTGGGAGTGCCAGAGTATACAATTGGCAAAGAAAAGAAGTTTACGCTGCACCGCATCTACCAAATTAAAATATCCTAAATTTTTGTTTTACCTAACTAAACTAAAATTGCCTGCTAATTTCATTCTCACCATTGACTTTTCAATTTTTATTAATCGCAATTTTTCATTTATGTTATTACTAATTTGAACTAATTATAGTTGTTACTGGGAAACTACAGTCGCGCAAATGTGCGACATATTGTACTAGTACGGAGTGAACGAAATCGAACAGATCAACCTATAAATCATGTGTGATGCAAAGGACTATGAGAATATTGCACTAAAAATTTAAATTTTGTTTGGCGCGCAGCTGATGGGGCGTGGCTAGGGGTGGGCAGAAAAAGACCGAACCGAAAAGATTGAGACCAAGACCAAAAAAATCGAGATTGAGAAATTCAGTACTAGGCAGTGAAAGACCGAATTTTGTTCGGTCAATTCGGTTATTCTCCTCGGGTAACTGGATAGACCGAAAAGACCGAATTATCAAAAAATGTCTAAATACAACCTACAATCCACTATATTTAATAGGATTAAACTCTAATTTTTATATCCTACTTGTTCTAGGCATGCAACCTAATAAGAGTCTTTATTCATAAGGGCTTACGAATTTTTTTAGGATTTTCTGTTGAAAATTTCCATTATTTCTTTGCATATATGAAAATGTCGTTGAATTTCGGTCAGGACCGAGACCGAGACCGAAAAAACCTAGATCGAATTTGTCGGTCCTGATATTTTTACGCTGAAATTCGATCTTCACTTTTCAAAGACCGAAAAAGCTGAAATTCGATCTTCACTTTTCAAAGACCGAAAAAACCGAAAGATCGAAGACCGAGACCGAAATTTTCAGTTAGACCGAATGCCCACCCCTAGGCGTGGCGCTGTGGTCTTTATCTATGTTTTCACCATCTAGTGTAAACTTTACAAATAACTTATTCCCCTGCTTAATATAAACACCAGATTAATTTGGCTTGTCTTGTTTTTTAAAAAAAGGGCCCAACTTTTTTTTTTTCACAAAATAGCCAAGCTGTTGTTAAAAACGTGGCTGCAGATTTGACATTTCAGGCGCACAAGATTCAGCAAATCCGTTTTCTGAAACATGTGATTCATATGTGGTGCGAATATTGGCCCGTCAATTGCATCTCCTAGCTGTAAAATGTACTTAGACCATTCCCAAACCAGATATTAGACATAATTTTCATAATCTCTACATCATAAAAAAAAACTTATACTAGATACTACTATTACAATGCAAACAACACTATTTCATATTTAAATTTAATGCTACTTATCTCACATGATGTCTTGGATATTGTGTAGAAACCGTGTTTCATGCAAGACATGTTTTCTTCTATTTCATTATTTATTCACTTGCCACATTATTTTTCATTTTAGTTGGCAGCTTATTTAATGCTATAGACACCATTCTAGTCATTGGGTTGGGAATGATCTTTGTACTCCCTCTGTCCCATTTTAAGTACAGTCATGATTTTCCGTGCACAACTTTAACCGTCCGTCTTATTTGATTTGTTTTTTAAAAAATTAAAAATATAAGTTAAGTATAAAGTACTAATTATAAAAATATTTTAAATAAGATAGAAGATTAAAATTAAACATAAAAAACTTATAGTTACACCTAGATTGGGATTACTAGTCTTGTGAAACAAGAAAATTAAGTTAGAAACTGTAATTAATTTCGTTGCTGCGACGGTCGCTGGTATATATTACCAGCCTGTGGTCTCTCTAGCTCATGCATGCATGCGAACACTATGGAGCTCACGCCTTTGCTCGCCGTCGTGCTCTTCCTCCCGCCGCCACTCGCGGTGGCGCACATGGCATGGACGGCCGCCTCCCGCCGCCGCGGCATGCGGTGCTACCTCCTGGACTACGTCTGCTACAAGCCGGCGGATGACCTCACGCTGACGACGGAGCTGGCATGCGCGATTGTCCAGCGCAACGAGCGGCTTGGGATACCGGAGTTTCGCTTCCTCGTCCGCCTCATCTCCCGCACGGGACTCGGCGACCGGACCTACGCGCCGCGGAACCTCCTCGACGGCCGCGAGGAGCTCGCCGCCCAGAGGGATTCGGTCGACGAGATGGACGCCTGCTTCGACGGCGCCGTCCCGGAGCTCCTCGCCAGGACGGGGCTCCGGGCCCGCGACGTCGACGTGCTCGTCGTCAACGTCAATGGCTTCTTCCCGGAGCCCTGCCTCGCGTCCAGGGTGGTGCGCCGGTACGGCATGCGCGAGGACGTCGCGGCGTACAACCTCTCCGGGATGGGGTGCAGCGCCACGCTGGTCGCGGTGGACGTCGGCCGGAACGCCATGCGCGCTCGGTCGCCGCGGCCCGTGGTGGCGCTGGTGGTATCGACGGAGTCGCTGGCGCCGCACTGGTACGCCGGGAAGGAGAGGACCATGATGCTGGCACAGTGCCTGTTCCGGTGCGGCGGGGCAGCCGTGCTGCTCAGCAACGACCCGGCCCACCGCGGCCGCGCCAAGATGGAGCTCCGCCGCCTTGTGCGCTCCACCACCGCGGCCAGCGACGACGCCTACTCCTGCATCATGCAGCGCGAGGACGACGATGGCCTCCGCGGGGTCAGCATCAGCAAGGCCCTCCCCAAGGCCGCGCTCCGCGCGTTCGCCGCCAACCTGCAGCGCCTCCTGCCGCGCGTCCTCCCGGCCATGGAAATCGCCCGGCTCGCCGCCGACCTGGCATGGCAGAATCTGTTGCAGCGCCGCCGCCACCGAGGGCAGACCAAGCTGAAGATCAACCTCAAGGCAGGGGTGGACCACATCTGCCTCCACGCCGGCGGGGTGGCGGTGATCGACGCGGTGAAGAAGAGTTTCGGGCTGGAGGAGCGAGACGTCGAGCCGTTGAGGATGACGTTGCACAGGTGGGGGAACACGTCGGCGAGCAGCGTGTGGTACGTGCTGTCGTACATGGAGGCGAAGGGGAGGTTGAGGCGAGGCGACAAGGTGCTGATGGTGACGTTCGGGTCGGGGTTCAAGTGCAACAGCTGCGTGTGGGAGGTGGCCGGCGACATGGCCGACAAGGGCGCGTGGGCCGACTGCATCGACGCGTACCCACCGGAGAGCAAGCCCAGCCCGTTCTTGGAGAAGTTCGCTTGGATCAACGACGAAGCAGCCGATGAATCCTCCTCGCCGTTCTAGAGGACGTGAGACGCATTAATTGGCAGTAGGAGTAAAGCGCAACCCGCCTCGAGTATAGTTTCGCTATAAAAGCTCACAAACAATATATTCCAAGATAATAAGGGTGTGTTTAGATCACACCAAACTTCCCCCAAACTCTAAACTTTTCATCACATCAAAAACTTTTCTACTCACATAAACTCCCAACTTTTTTTCCAAACTACCAACTTTCTCCAAACTTATCCCTAAACTTCGGAACTAAACACAGCCTAACTTGGAGAAGCAAGCTTTGCCCAAAAAGCCAGCTTGCAGGGGAAGCAATTTTACAGTGGAAACCTCTGTCACAGCCTGATTTTCCGTTTCAGGATTTATAAATTATTTAATAAATTATTAATAGAATTTATATTAAATGTTCATTAATTTACAAGTGAAGTTAAATGTGGGAAATAAAATTTCCTAAATTTAGAGCATGGATGGATTTAATTTTTATTAAATTCTCCATGATTAATTATACTCTCTGAAATTTTCTCGGATTTTTCAGAGCTCAATTCCTAAATGATACAAAGAACAGCTCAGTAATTAGTTAATCAATTAATGATCTAATTATAATTATGTTAAGTGCTTTTCTTGTTTAAAAATCCTTAAATTATAAATTGTTGTTTAAAAGAAATTATTAGAAATAATCTTAAAAGCCTAAAAGAGAAGATCTAATTTTAATTTAATAAATCTCAATATAAAAGTGAGATAGATAAAATTTTGTTAAATACTTCTTTTGTTTCTATAGTTTCTAGATTTTTCTAGGATTTATTTGAGCAAAGGAAGCATTTTTAATAAACGGAATATCATTTCATGAATAATTTAAATAGAAAAATGTTTTTAAATCCTTCTTTTGGATTTGGGCCGAAAGTCGGCCCAAGTCTCTCCCTTCCCCTCGGCCTGCTCACGCCCGACCCAAGCCGGCCCAGTCCGCCACCCCAGCCTTGCCGCGCGCCGCCGATCTCCTTCCAAAATCCGGCCGCCCCTATCCTTCTCCGATCAAATTGATAGAGGGGAAATGATCCTCGGGATCTCCTCTTCCTTTTCTTTTTTGGAAACTTTGGCTAATTTCGTTTGGAAACTGACGGATTTGAGCTCGATTCGGATCGATTTTTCTCCCTTCAACCCTAGCTTTCCATCTCCTTGCCACCGCCGTGGGCCTAGCCGCTGCCCCCTAGCCCCTATAAAAGGACCCCCGGGACCTCCTCTTTTCGCCGCCACCTTCGCCCTAGCCTGCCACCTTCTCTAGCGTCGCCTTCGCGTGGTTCTTTGCGTCGCTGCCGCCGGCGGGTGTCCAGTCGGGCGCCGCCATCGCTTCGGTCGTCGCCGTCAGTCGCCGTCTCCTTCATCAGTATCGCGAGGTCGCCGCCGTCCTCGTCCCGTCCTCCGTTTCCGCCGCAGATCACCGGAGCGCCGCCGACACCATCGACCCGAAGCTCTCCACCGTCGACGTCGGTCCAGCCACGCCGCACCGCCGTTGCAGCCGCCGCCTTCGGTTGCCGTTGCCACCATCGGGTTCGCGAGGAGGAGAAGAACCTCGGCCAGCCCTCCGTTGCCGCTGTTTCCCGCCGGAGCACCACCGTCATCGCCGACCCGAAGACCGCCGCCGCCTCGACCTCGCCGCTGTCGTCATCCGTCGTCGTTTGCCGTCGTCCAAGTGCTCGGTGAGTTCGCCGCGTCGCCCTCTACCCGTTGGTGCCCTCCGTTTGCGCCGCCTCGCCGCCGTTCACCGTCGAGCATGGTGCCGAGCCGCCGGCGATGACATCATCACTGATGTCAGCGCTTTGTCAGCCGTAGACCCGTGGTAGTCCGGATCGATCTCGGTCGTCCGATTCGGTCAATTTTAGGTCAATTAGATCTTGGGCGTTGGATCCGTGGACCGCTTCTGTGAACCCGGTTTACCGTGGACTGTCCTTGATGACGCAAAAATCTCTTTTCCTTTTAAAAATAATACTTTATTGCGTCATAATTCAATTAAAATCTATATAAATGCTTTAATTCGGTTTAATGTTTAAAAATTCATAACTAATTCATTGCAACTCGGTTTAATGTGGTTCAAGTTGCAAAAGTTGTAGAAAATAAAGATCTATATAGTAAAATTATCCATAAATTGTGTTAAATTTATTTAATCCTTTAATTAGGTTTAATCTTGTAAAATTGGTAATTAATTCATATGAAGTCAGAATGAGGCCGTTCAAGTCTCATAATTCATCTAAAATCATGATCTACATGTTTGTTTACTTTATATGTATTGTTTATTTGGAGTTTCTTAGTATTTTTCCTCGTTTTGCGTGTTAGCTTGTCGTTTCCGTCGTTTCGAAGGTTCGCAAGTGCGCCGGAAGTGTTCAAGAAGATTAATTGAAGACCGAATGTTGCAAGGCAAGTCACACAGATCCCAAACACAATTCCTTTGAGCATGTTGATCCTATATTTAAATTCTCTATTTATTTCAACTGTACATTTATTTTCGAATGTCACCGGGTGGTGTGAACCTATTCCTTTGTTATGGCCAATTTGCATTGATTACCCTATTTCTTGATTACCTCGGGTTATAATTTGACTAGTTGGATTTATATATTGGTTCAACTAGATGTATTAGATCTAATTGCTTAGCCATGCTTAGAAACATTAGCACACTATTGGGATAACTAATGTTTCACCATTACTTAATGATGTACATGGTAAAGGTAGCTCACGATGGTCAATCGTGATTGGTTAATTAATTAATGTGCCAACTAAAACTTGATAATGGTGGGTTGTGAGCACATGGTTTTGATGGTCGTGCTCATAACAATTAAGGACCGGTTCACGAGTTTCGGTTGTGAAACATTAACCGTGCCAACCACAAGCCAGAGTGGGCAACGGCTGGACACTTTGTATAGCAAGACTCATTGTGGTGTGCCAGACTGAGAAGTGGCGGAGATAAGCCCACGGGGGTCGTTGGGGAGTCTATGCCTTGTTTTATATGGGGGTGATTATGATCCAGGAACGGTGTATTACTTTGAGTTGAGTTATGCGAGGGGTCTTGTCACAATCACTCGCCATGGTGACGTGTCTGCGCGGACACAGTGACATGACAGTGGGTTGTGTCTTGTGGGTACAGTGGTACATCTCTGGCCAGAGTAAAACTATTCGAATAGCCGTGCCCGCGGTTATGGGCGGGTCTAACAATGTCTTTCGTGATTAGTCCCACACCACTCATTAATAATAATGTGATAATTGATGGCAATTAATTTAGCTCCTAGTTTGGAATGGTACATTCCTGGTTTGGAGATAGATCTGTACAGCCGGGTATAGTTGTTCAGGATGGTTGGGCCTGTGCAGCATGGGTGTGTTGTTCAGCGTTGATTAATATTGATGATTAATTACTCTACTGTTTTACAATTATTAACTGTTTGCTAAATGTTGCTTTTGCAAATGAGCCCTATATTATGCTATCCTTTGGTATCCTTGTGCACTTGCATATTTGCTGTGTGGCTTGCTGAGTATGTCATATGCTCACCTTGTAATAATCAATCAAACCTCAGTTGAAGTTAAGTTGCGAAGGAGAAGACGTTTGACTTATACCCCAGTTGAGCTACCTGTGGGAGTGGAGCCAGAGCTTCGCTAGACCGTTATTCCGCTGCTGTTTTCTTTTCATTTGTAAGTATGTAACGTTGTATTATTGATGAATCTGTATATTAAATTGTCAGTTTGTGTACCTCGGCTGATTACTGGACGAGGATTTCATGCACAAATAAGTTCGGAAATTACTAGTGAATTTCTGGGCGTGACAATCTCTTATCAGCTCCACCTATATATAAATAGGACCCCGAGGTCCAATACGGTGACAAACACTCTCCGACACCTCCTATCTTCCTTCTTGTAGCTTGTTCTCAAATCAGAAGAAATAAAGCTTCCACTCTCGCCCATATTTTTTGTGTTTGCCTGCTTGTGTGCTGATGAGTAGAATAGACCGATTTCTCAACGTCATGAGCATGAGTCTCTACCGACCAAAATAGGTAAACATGTGAGAAAATCAGTTTGTTTTGATCATTTTGTTCTTTACATGCAAATCATCATTCTGCTATAGTTGAAATAAGCATAAGAACATCATGATAATTGAAGTACCATCCTCCGACATTATCTTAGCAATTAATACCCAGTGGTGGAGCTGGAGAGGAATTGAGGGGGGTGCACCACTTTGTTGTGCATAAAGCGGGATAAAAATAATACTTAAGCAAATGACCATATAACGAGGGATTGCAATTTCGGTAATTTTGGACACCTCAGCAAGTGATTATCTCGGCCAAAATTTTTGTTTTTCTCAAAATTTTATGAAGTTGATTAAAATTTAGTCAAATTCAGTTAAATTATGTTAAAATATGCCAAAAATCCTGAAATTTCGGTAAAACCAAAATGAGTGAAATTTTAGCCGAAATCGAAATCGAAAACCCTGCATATAACACGAACAATTTAACTGTTCATAATTACAGCACCAAATAAGAAGCAATAACAAAATGCTTACCAAAATATAGCGAAAGAAGTTAATATCATATACACTCAAATCATCAGCCAACCTGAGTATACTTAAATCACCTACAGCATAAAAGTGAGTAAAATCATCAAAATTTGCAACTGAATAACCGTCAAAAAATAATTTAATGTTAGATGCATTTTCCTTTCTCGTTGATTAGGGTGGTACTTGTGAACATATTATTGGTATTTTGTGGTGATTTGCTTTTGAGAAATTTCTCCAATACATCCGCCTGTCATTTATAGCCATGATGCAAAAGGAGAATAGCGATATAATAAAGTCATAGCCCCAAATATGTTAATAGTGCTGTACAGTTTTGCTTCAAACTGACAAATCCTAACCCTACAACCTAGAAAATTAATAACAACAAAATAATTTCAAATCTTCTATTCTAATTTCACTAAATTCGCTTGCAAAGATCAGATTAATTAATTTATAGAAAAAAAAATAGAGCTGAGGAAACAAGACACAAGAAAATTTTTGAGGTCTTGCCTGTTGCGCTCAAGATCTTGAAGGGAAAGAAACATGGGTGGAATTAAATGGCGTGGCAGCTAGCGAGAGAGACGGTCTTGGGCACAGCCAGAAGATGAACCACTCCGGTGGCGAAACTCATGGCCGGAGGTGTCCACACCAGTTCACCGAGAGGAGAGAAGGAAAGGGGAAAAAGATGCGAACAAGAACCACTTGCCGTCGTGCGGCATCTGAAACGATAAAAAGGAAACCCTCCATCCAGGCGTGCAAACATTTGCTCTTCCTAAACTCTATGGGCCTGATCTATTTAGAA